AATTCAAATTTATTTACATCAACTTTAAGCCATTTGCTCTTTTAAATCTCAGCGTATGAAAAGAGTTAAAGTAAAGCAGAAACTTTTAATGCTTCACTAGAGGTAGAAAAGCCAGTGACCAGCTGTGGGTGGGCCCCCCTGGGTGGGCCCCCCTGGGTGGGCCCCCGGGTGGATGGGTGCAAACGGGAGGAACTCGCTGCAATATATAAATATATATATAAAAAATTTTCATGACTTTTTGAAAAGACCCGCCCTCCTCACTTTAAAAAAAGAAAAATGCACCTGAGAGGGAACGCCTATTAAACACGTGCGAGGCGTGCAAAGCCCATTTCTCCTCGTGCACGCTCTGTTTAAAAGTTGCTGTCTGCATCGTTCATACAAGCTAACTTTCCCAAAGAAGATTTTCCCACCATGTCGGACTCGCCAGCGGTGAGTGAAAACGGGGACGAGCGCGAAGGACGGCCTTACGCTAACGTTTCACCAGAATGATTGACAGTTAGGAGGACCACTGATTGAGATGATCCACCTGGAAATAAAACAGCCTCCACTGTAGCTTTAAGGAGCTCTGATTGTGTTTTGCTTGTTTATTGTTTCAGGAGCTGCGTAAGCGAGAGTTCTCCAGGGTTCTGGTGGTGTTGAAATGTTTGTCCACTCTGTCGGAGAACAAGGAAGAGCAGCAGACTCTGGTGGGACTGGGACTGACCGCTAAGGTAACCAGTGATCTGATTGGTCAGAAAGCTCCTGGACCGCTGTTACCATGGTGATGATGTTCTTTAGGTGCTGTCGTGGTTCAAGACTGTTCATGACCTGCTGACCTCTGACCTCCAGAAAGGCTCCGCCCCCCTGCTGAGCCTCACAGAGCAGTTCTTCGACTACTTTGTGGTGAGCAGCATGTCCACCCTGGCAGGTCCATCAGATGATGGATTAGGCAGATCCAGATGTTTTCCTCCAGCTGATGGTTTGGTTCAAAAAGCTGGAGATGTTTATCAGTAGCTTCAGTCATTAGAAGTTTTCCTTCAGCTGCACTTCCTGAATCAGAGGTTGGTAAGAACTAAGTCTGCATGTTTGTCTCGTGGATCCAGGGCGGTAAACTCATGAATATGCAGACCTTATGCTCATGACTAAACTGATGATTTCCCAACATATAACTTATAGCGCAGTTTGTGGGGTTCTCTGTCAGAGTAAAACGCTAAGCCACATACCCCAATAGGTTGGGTCAACGCATGTATGCCTGAGTCAGTCATACTTTATGCAACTTATTGCTACACTACCCCCGGTCAGACCCGATCCAGCCACCCAGAATAATGTGAAGCCAATAACCACTATGTGGCCCCGTCAGACTCCATTACAGCCCGTCAGACCTCTTCAGGCCCCATCAGACCTCTTCAGGCCCCATCAGACCTCT